ATGATTATACATGGTATTTTATGGATATGAAGGAAGGTAAGTAAAAACTATATTTACTGAGTTTTTTTCTTTCTTTTTATCATATTAGTTTCAGATGTACAACATAGTGATTTGACATTTATATACCTTATGAAGTAATCACCATAGCAAGTCTAGTAGCCATCTATCACTGTACAAAGTTATGATATTATTGACTGTATTCCATATCACTGTGACTTATTTATTTTATAACTGGACGTTTGCACCTGTCTTCTCCTTCACCTTTTTTGCGGGGTAGTGTGCGTTCCATGCTTGTGCCCGTTTAATCCACAACGCAACCCAGCAAATGTAGCAGTATTCAGGTTTTTCAGATGGAAAAGGTTGACACGTGTTTGTCACACACCCTGACCCATAGCAACCATCACTATAGAAATTCTGGGAGAATAGACAGGTGACAACGAGCCAGAGGGGCCAGTGGTCCTTCACTAACTAGGATTTTTATGGATGTGAGAGGCAAGGAGATAAGTGCCCTAAATTTGCACATGAAGCCAGAGGAGCAGAGTTTCTCCCAGGCCTAGAAGGAGGTGACAGAGATATAACTGCCTAGGCACCTTTAGGAGATGGATTATTTCACCTCTAAGTATGGATCAGACCGTTACCACACTCTGGACTCACCCCACATGAGCAGCTTCACACACGTCTGCTCCACAGCACTGCCCAAGTCCCCTAGCTGCTCCTCTCCTACAGCTGTGTCTTCAAAGAGCGCACATCGCCAGTGGCCCGTCTTCTATCATTTTATCTCAACGCAATGCGAAAATTTGTTTTGCCTTGGTTCAGTTGCACAAACACTCAAACCTGTTAACAAAAAAGTTTCAACAAATGGCATAATACCGGCCCAGCTAGTTTTGAATGTTAACATTGACAGGTGTTAGGTACATCCTAAATATTTATTTACTTAATGTCTCAAAATAAACTCACCCTGTAATATTACAATAGGTGTCATAGTTCCCACAGTAATTTATGCTGATTTCATGTTTTAGTCCAATCAGACTGCAATAACAAAATACCACAGACTGGGTGGGTTATAAACAACAGAACTATATTTCTTAAAGTTTGGAGGCTGGAAGTCTGAGATCAAGATGCCAGTATGGTAGGGTGAGTGCCCTTCCAGGTTGCAGGCTTCTCATTGTGCCCTCACTC